TCGGCATGGCCATTCTGCAGTGGTTTATCGTACCGGAATGTACCTCTTTGGAGGACTGATGGGGCTGAGTGAGCAGAAGGACTTGTGGAAGTGGGACTTTGTAAGCAGCAGCTGGTCCAACATCAGAACAAGGTAAACTATTTTATGTGTTACACTACATGAGCAGAGAAAGAAAGAATTTATCTTATCATTTGATACTGCAGGCAGGTGGAGGGGGAGGCGGTGCCCTTTTGGCGACTGTAGGAATTGTTCAGATCAAGATACGGTGCTGCTGCCATCCCTGGGGCTGCAGTTGGCTTTGCTCAGAAGAGCTATTGGCAATGCGTTGATGCAGCTGTCAGCAGTGTAATTCTGATGTCCCAATGCAGCTGTTCAGCAGCCATTCTTCTGAGCCAAAAGGAAAATGGAGGCTAAAATCAGTGTTAAGTTTCTTGTTGGTCTCCTCTTAACTGCTGCTTTCTCTTATATTTAGCCAAGGACCTCCTCCAGTGGTAGGTCACGCTTCAATAGTCTGCAAAGACTCTATGCTGATTTTTGGTGGAGGGATTTCAAATTCCAGTCCTAATGATGACCTCTGGAAGTATCATTTCCATACACAGACATGGAAGAAGCTTAGTAGTACTGCAAACTTTCCTCCTAAAATGTATCACTGCATCTTAGGAATTGGTGTGGATTTCGAAACTACCTCAGATTTCACTAATACATCCCCCAGCCACTGGAAGAACGATCAGAAGGACCATGGCCAGCTGGTGCCCATCCCGAGGCACACTCGCTTTGGCAACTACTTCCGCCAGCGGCCCACAGACAGGGCATTTGGCAGCAAGGAGAGCAACGCCATTGAAATGAAAACCTTCAGCTTGCCTCTGGAGCCAGTGGGCTTCCGTGCATTTCAGACCACCTCAGAGGCAGAACTGGACCCAAACAGAGACACAAGCCTTTTGACGAAGGACGAGTCTCTCCCTCTGTTTCCCTCTTCAGAGAGAGAAACTCTGGCTGCCGCTCAGGTTGTGGGTGAAGAGGAGGGAAGTGACTGTGGGTGCGCGACCGCCGGGGATGAACTCGGCAGCAGCACCAACACCCTGCTGCTCATCGGGGGCAAACCTTTGTCCAGCTTTGCTGAGATCTCCCTCAGACAAATGGAGTTCGATAGCTCGTGATCGCTTTGATTACAAAGTGAAAGAATAAATTTCCACCACCGTGGCAGTAGGTGGAAAACCAACTGCTTGCAACTGTCTTCAGCTTCCTATCAGCATGCTTGGGAAAAAAATAATTAAACCTTCTCATACTTGCTGTGAACAGATTTTTTACAATGTTAACGAAACCCAACATATATTTAAGTCACAACTTGCATGTAAGTTGTGATTTCTGAGAAGAGCTTGTTGGAATGCTGCTCTTTTTGTTACTTTTCTTCTGGTCAGTTCATATCCTTTCAAATTGCAGTGGCTGATGCTGCCTTGAAAATCAGAACTACAAGTAACCCCTACTGGCTACACAGCTGCCATTTCAGGGTCAAAGCTTGCTCATTTTGCACTTGTATTAGAGGGAAATACAGTCACATTTGAGGGATTTGATCAATCTTAATGGCAACATTCTCTAAGTTTTTTAAGATTTTGTTTTCTTGAGTGTTATTTGCACAATGTATTTGCAACAAGAGATAGCCTTACAACATCACAGAAACCAAATGAACAAGTTAGTGAGTGAAATCGAGAAGATATTTAAGGATTGTATATAAACTACGAGTGCCCCCAGAAAATCATCTGCAGCCTTAGACCAGAGGAAGTACATTATATCTGGAAGAACAAAGGAATTGCCAAGTGAGTGTTGGCTTTAATGACTGAGCACAGAATCAAAAGGGTTTGCCTTCCCATAACAGGGTGGGGGGACAGAAAGAGGAGGGCTTGACAGGAGTGGCACAAAGCATGGGCTGTTCTGACTGGTAACTCCTGTTTTAGCCACAAAGGGATTTCTGCTTTTCCAACTCCCATCTCTCTGTTTGTCAACTCAGGTAGTGATCATTACACATTTCCCCTTTATCTGAGTAAATCCTGAGTTCATGTATAATTTTTCTTTGCTGAAAAGAAAAAGTGTTTTTTTGAAAGATAATATAGTCCAGTGTTCCAAGCATTTATTTCCATAGAAGTTACTAAGATATGGCCTTCTGACAGAACTTCAGCCATCTGTAAGAAACGCTGCTGTCTGAAATGACTAGAAAGTGTAATACTTCTGAATATTTGAAAAGATTGCTTTTCAAAAGTTTCATAGGAATAAAGGATTTCAAATGAGAATGTTTACAGATACTTTTCATCATCTCTTCACAAGTAGCTGTCACATGAATTCGATGGGAAAATTATAGATGAATTCACAAAAAGCTACAAGAGTTATTTGGACCATTCGTGACCCTTATTTGGAAACAGAGAGGATTGTACTCTTCCATTTAAATAAAGCCTGCTCTGTTTCCTATCAGTGTGTGCTTATTTTCTCTACTTTCACAGATCTAAAATATGTATTTGTATTTTCAAACTGAATAAAGAACTTACCTTTCTGAACAAGGAACATGATCCCACAAGCCCCAGTCATCTCTTAGCACTTCAGCCAGCCTCGAGGGTTGCCCAGGATTTGAATTTCTGCTCCAAGAACAAGAATTTCCCAGTTTGAGGAGGTTTGTTCGGAAAGGACTTCAGTACAGCGACTGAGCTGAGCATGTACTGAGCACTGCAATCTTAAATCAGCAGCTTGTTTTCCTTTTGCTGGCTCACATGTCTGTTTTGGCATTATCCTGAGAGCTGCCATAACATACAGGCTTTTATCAAGGATTGACAAGGGAAGGAAATTTACCTGGAAAGGGCAACAATAAACCAGTGACTCTTCCAAGTCACGCAAAGGCCTCCCAGCAGGTAGAGGTATCCTGGGGATGTGCAAGAGCCCCAGGAAAATGCCATCCAGCCTCTGTCACTCCTTTCTTCCTCCCCCCTCAAACTCTCTTCCCTTTGGCAGCCCCACGAAGGGTTTAACATTTACTCAGAGCCAACGCAGGCGGGACATGAGCCAGCCCAAAGGCAATGGCTTGGCACGGGGAGGAAAAAGCAGCTTGCAGAGTGTGCCCATCTCCCCATCTCCTCCCCTGGCCTCTGCCCGTGTGCCAAGTCAGGTGGCTGCACCAGCACCTCGGGCACCGCTTCTTTACTGGAGATCCCAAACCTCTCAGGCTGACCTGATGCTGTAAGGGCCCTTCTGTTCCTGCCTCTGCACAGGACACCAGGTGTGCAGGGGCTCAGGGAGGGGCTGTGCCTGGAGAGATGTGGGCTCAGGCACGGCCCCAGGGCTTGCTTGTGGGAGGATGAGCCACAGTTGGCCCCAGCAGTGCTGTGGAAGGGAGAGCTCTGATCCTGGAAGTGGGGTGCTCTGCTACAGCAGCTTTGCTGAAGCCACTGGAGGCTCTTTCTCCCCTTGCTGGCCTGTTCCCATGTCTTTAAAAAACAAGGGTGACCTCAAGCTGGAAGGGAAGGGGTTTGATATTTAAAGAGACTGCATCCCACATCTGCCCACAAGAGTGCCTGACATCTCAGTTCCTTCTCAGCATGCATGACCCATATTTCAGGTTCTCTCCAAAAAACCTGTATCAGGACCTAGGCACACAATCCTTGCTCATAATACTGTATGACATTTCCTGGGTCATTTCCCCTTTCAAAACTCAGTCAGTGCCATCAGCTACACCAACAAGGCTCTCAGAGCACCTCAGGTGGTTTCACTCCTGTTTGCACACCAGAGTCACCTTTTCAGAGAGGAAGAGAAGAACCTTCATGCATGTGCTGATGATATTTCTCCATAACTGTAGCAGTTAATGAGAATTCATCTCAGGCCCAAGCAAGTGACTACAAGCTGCTGCCATCTGAAAGCTCGGTGGTGGCCTGCATGAAATAATGAATGGAATTGCTCTAGCTAGTGACAAATATTTAGAAACAAAACAGAACACACCATTTTTGGTTGGGCATGGACTGAAGGGGTTGCCACTGAAGCTTGATTGTTTTAGAATGTCTCTGAAAAACAGAGAAGCTTGCACATATCTAATATGCCCACAGTAATTCAATCCATGGAATAAAAGCAAAAGGATGCAGCATTCTTGGTAATCTCATCTAAGACACAAGATGTGCTATTGTATCATAAATTACATATCTAAGAGAACAAATCAATCAGCATTAAACACCTCAACAAACTCATTGTCTTTATAATTAACATTTGGTTTCTGAACATTAAAATGCATGAATGGCAGAAGGATTTTCTTCTAAAATGTAGATATTCAAAGAGGTTTTTTCCAATTAATAATAGAAAAAACCTAAACATTTCATTATTTTAAGTGAATTTAAAGAACCATTCAGCGACGTATCAGTGGGATTGCAGTTTGACCTACACAACAAATTGTGCCACGAGGGAAATTACTTCCCATGACCTTAGTCATTTGGATGGAATTTTTTTCTCCTCCTTTTGATACTTTTATTAATTGTTGAGAAATGAAGATGATCAAATGGTCTGGTTGTCCTTTGCTGCCTTCTTAAGCATTTCACCAAAGTCAGGGGTTGGAAATAAAAAGTTTCCTTTAAACAGTCATTAGCACTACTGTACTTCAAACACAAACCAGTCCCTTGTTGGAGATAAAAGTGGGTTTGCTCAGTTAACTGGCCTGCATGCTGTGGAACCACACTCAGCAACTCAAGCTTCCTCTCTGGGTGCACGCCTCGGTACTTTGGTTTTCAAAACCACTGGACACCTGACACTCCTCCTGGCCAATCTCAGCTCTGTTGGAAAAAAGGCATTTCATTCTTTAGCATCTACCTGCAAGTTTAGGTGCCACCTTAAGTTATGCTTTAACTGACAACAAATTAAGTTTACAGCAGCAGCCCAGTGGCCCTCCCTGCACAGCCTGTGTCCCCAGCCCCGGGTGACCCACCTTTTACTGCCATAACAGTATAATGCAGCGGTGCTTAAAGATGACTCTGCAAGACTTTTGCACTGATGTGGTATATTTAAGACAAAACTACAGTATAAACATTTGAAGACTGGGTTCAGTGGACTACAAATCTACTTGTTCCCATGTACAGTTTCAATACAGTTCTCAGTGCAGTGCCTAAGACAGTTCATACATCACCAGTGTTGTGAAACAGAAGCAAGAGGGTGCACTTCGTTTTATAAAAAACCCAACAAATAAATTATACATTGAGAGCTATTGCCAAGCTTTACATATAAAAGGTAAAAATACAGTAGTTAGTGTGGCTTTAACAAAAAATATCTAGCTAAAAAAATATTCATTCTTACATACTTTAAAAATAAGTTTGTCCAGTTATAGGTGGTGGTGAGGAGGTGTGTTCGTGAAACAGAGTGCTCAAGCCAAGCAGTCAAAAGGAGGTGAGTTTTGTAGGAGAATCTTGCAGCTCCCTGCTGCAGGGGTCCAGCAGTGCTGCAGAGGCAGTGCCCCCCCCTCACTGGCTTTCACCAGGCTGTGCTGACCACCTGGATCAACCCCCTGAGCACTGGGGCCACTGCAGCACCCAGCGGGATCCCCCTGGCTCCGCCTCCGTGAGGGCACCGTGGGGAGGGCCCTGAACTCACATCTGCAATGCCAACACCCAGACCAAACACATGCATCACTGAAAGGCCATTAGCATGGATTGTTTCTATTTTTTGGTTTAAAAGTTATGATTGTCCAGCTGCATTTCAAAGCAGTGATGTTACCATGTCCAACAGCTATATATATACATATATATATGTATATATATATACACACACTACAACTTTTTAAACTAATAAACACTCTATGTGCCTAGATAGAGCTTTAAATGCTAGCTGGCCATGAAACAGAGGTGCTAACACTTCACCAGTAGATTTGGGGTGTACCAGAACATGTTCACAATGTGAAAAATACATCCAGTGCTGCTTGTGAAAGATATGCTCCTCCTAACAGTACTTCTCTGCTTCATGAAACGAGAATGAGCAGGGTGCAGACAAAGGCAGAGCAGGCAAGGACTGGAAACAGTTTGTAGAGAGAGACCCAAACATAGTTGGACTGTTCACCTGAGCTCCTCTAACAGGGCTGCAAATTTTCTTGCCAAAGTTGCGTGCCCAAAAAATTGCCCAAAACATAGCTCTTACACAGCTGTCTGTCTTTGACAAAGTATGAGTGGAATTTAAGCCAAACACATTCCAGCTAATTCATTAGCCATAACTGATTACCAGGTAAGTAGATATTTTATGTCATATAACATACCTGATATTAAATGCCTTTACCACTGAATCAATGAAGATATTCCCTTACTTCCAGTGTAAGAAGGCCTGAACTCCCACATTTTAACACTCAAAAGCCTGGAAACACACACAGACTGATGGACTAAATGGGTGAGACTGAAATGCATCTCCCCAAGATTAATTAGTTTGAGATGTGGGCTGGGGTGTTGTTACTATAAATGTTAAGATTTTATAAAACCTTTCACTCCAATCACTTATAGAGTGTGACTGGAGTAAAATCACTTTTAGATCCAATCATTTAACATGCATTAATTCATTCCTGTCAACTCTTAGAGCTTTTAAGTGGTTGGCAGACCTGCCAACATCCTGATACCAGATTCACACAAAAGTTTTATTTATAAATCTCTTTAAATAAATACCAAAAAATAAACTTTAAGAGAATGCTTGGACCCTATAGCCAATCAATCAATAGTATAGCAATGGTAAGAAAATCCTTTTTTCTCAGTAGTATAAAAGCATTAATTAATATTTTATAGCACTAACTATAGGAACAATTATCCCTATTTGTGTCTGATAAAATGCAGGTGCTGAGCAATGCTGTATTACCTGCTAGCTAGTCATGATACAACACAATACCTCTAGTTTCAAAGCATAACAGTGATGCCAAACTGCAGGATGTTCAGATCACAAACCTGTGACCTTGGTCTTGCCAGGCTTCCTATAGAAGCAATGATTTGGGTTAGCTAAGTAAGCTACATTGACTTAAATGGAGTGAATATTTGCTCTGAGTATAATCAGATATCACTGAAAAGAGTTAGTTGCAAATCTATTAGAAATTGCAGGTTCCCAAATTAACAGTTACAATTTTTGAATTTCTAAGTAAAAATTTTCAAATATGAGTCCTCTGAAAATTGAGGAAAGCCTCACCCTTTGAAATTTGTGTGTGAATGAATATGTGTAATTACAACATTCCCCTCCAATCACCACTATCCCAACCATGCTGAAATAACAGTTGGCTACTTGGTACCATTTAGATTTTAGGGGGACACACTCACCACACGTTATTTACTTGTTATTTGCTGTATGTGATTGCCTGGGAGGAATCCAAGGCTGGTATTCAACACGCAGTGCTGTAAAACTGTAAACTTCTGTTATTCCACTTTTGGGAGGAATTCAAGCTGACAGTTCACAGAGCTCCTGAACCCAATGGGAAGAGTCAAATATCAAACATGCCTAAGAAAATGCTACTTCATTCTGTCTATTTACAAACCCAACACATGTAGCTGGTGAATGCCAGCTCAGCTGCTGAGCAAACAGATCAACAGCTAGTGCCAAGTTTCCCCACACAGTCCTGGCTTTGTGCAGGAAGCAGACTGTTGCAGCCATAGCTTCCCTTTTCCTGCAGGAACTTTGCTGGCAACTGCATTATTAATCCAGACTATGACATTTGATATTTGAATCGTGAATCTTCTACATTTTAATAAGCAGTAAGGCTCAGACTTAAAAGTGTAAGAAAAGCCAATATAAACTGGAAGTAGCAATGACAGAACTGAAGGGCTGGTGAGCAGGAACCCTGCGCCTGCCTGGTCCAGAACAGGGGCTCCCCTCTGGCAGAGCGGGGACCTGCCCATGCAGTGCTTCAGGTGCTGACTGGAGGGGAACCTGCAGCACCTGCCACCCATTCTGACTTCTGATTCTTGAGGCAATGGCTACAAATCATTGTCTGCAGAGAGTCACTCTGGTATGTCAGTCCTAAGCGCTTTCTCTGGTTCCTACACTTCTCTATTAAGGCCTCGGGGGTTTTGAGGAGTGGCAGAGGGCCACACAAAATCCAGGTGGCTTCTCCCTTAACACTCTCAGCATCTTGCAAAGAAGAGCACAAGAGCAACAGCAGCAAGAATGCCTTGGTCTGAACAAAGCAGCCTCACTGGGCACCAGCTTACTTGCACAATCCATAGTGGTTTGGTCCAAATCTTTGTTTATATTGAGACACATGCCCGCAGCCAGTGGGCAGAAATGAAGTTGTGCATACAGGTTCCAGAATCAACTTTCACATTTAAGTTTGTTTCTAAGAACCACCTGCATATAAATATTTATAAACAGCAGCACTATGCAGAAAACATCCTCCAACCACAGTCATATGTACAAACGTCTTCCTAAGAAAGATCCCAGTTGTTTCATCTGTGCTTCCCTGTTAGATGTGGAATTCATCATCATCTTTATTTCTCCTCCCCTCTGACTCTGCATTGACCTCTTTCAGAGGCTGTATCCCCAGGGTCCATGTGCTCACCTCTCCATGTCCATGTGAGGATATTGCTGCCCAGGGCTCAAATGATCTCTTTCAACTGTACCCTCTACTTCACCTGAGCACCAAAAGGCCTTTGCCAGCTCTGTGGAGTGTGTGCTCTTACCTTCCTTCTAGCGAGACGTGAACTGCTTACGGGAATTTTTCATCTTTTTTTCCCGTTTTCACCCTATTCTTTCTATTCTTTGTTCCACATAAAACTATTAGATGACACTTGAAACAGGATTCAAGGTGGCGTTAAGAACCGATCTAGTTGTACCCTCATGCCGCAAAAATACCTGGCAAGTATTCCTGAAGCACAGCATCTGGAAAAAACACTCAGAAATAGTATGAAGAGAAACAAAGAAATTCTTTTCCTTTCTAGTCCTACAAGACAACAAAACTAATCAATAAGCAGTTCCTGAAGCAAGCTGTACTTATACATTCCCTGATTTGGCATTTAAAACATACACATCTCTAGCCTAGAACAGATGTATTTGAGTCATATAGGAAATTAAATAATCAGTGCCAAATGTGAGACCTCTGCTGTAGTCTGCTAATGCTATAAGCTGTTTGGCAGGTCAATTTTCATTTTCCTGGTTGCAATGAGCAGCAGCTCAAATCCAGTCAATGTAGCTGGTCACTGATGGACTAGATTTTCATGCTTTCCACGGACTGTAACAAGGGGTGCAAGGATTATTAAGGTGTTTAAGGCCAAAAAGGAGAGTATGTGTTGTTAAAATGAAGGAAGAACAGAGGGAATAATCACACAGAAGAACATGTCCTTGGCCATATGAAACAGTCACCACTGTGAGTCCCTGTACAGAGCATGGCCACGAGGTGGCCCTATGAGTTCTCTTAATCTCTGCGATATTAATCACTCTACAGCGGTCACCGAGCTCACACCACACCCCACATCACAGTGAGAGCCTTCCACAGGGTAAGTAACAATAAACCCAGCATGAGCAGAACACAACTGTTTTCTGTTCCTCAGTTCAGAACTAGGTCCAGTGGGACATTTTGCTCCTCCCAAGGGAGAAGATCAAACGTGTATGTGGTTTTACATCCCGGTTTAGACTGAAATTCCAGTTAGATTGCAATAAACATAGGAGTCTCTTCCTGGATCCTAGCAAACCAGATGGTTGTTTGACTCCCATTCAACATGAGTTTGATCCCAAGCAAGTCTTTTGGAAGGATCCCTTGGAGACGTATTAGAAGATTTGAGTTTTTACAAGGTGAGAAGTTCAGAAACTCCTTCTTCTAGAGTTCAGTGGTGAGTAAACATTTTGTTCTTACTGTAGCATCTTCAGTAACTGGGCTAAAAGAGGGAAAAAAAGTGAGGCTCTGTAAATACATTCCTCCTAAAAGGTCTGCCATGACGCATTAAAAAAGAAAAAGGTGAGTATTGCTCCAAAGAGCATTAATGGCTGTTCACCTCCTAATTTAATGAGACCAATGGACAAACCTTTCTAATGGACAATTACAGAAGAGCAAACAATCACATTCAAACAGTGCAGCAGTAGCATCACTGCCACTCTTTTAGAGCGTTTGCTGAAAGGCCTGATCATCACTGCCATCATTCTCCCTCATCAGTGTGGCAGAATGGAACAGCAAGGGGGAAGGCTTCTACCAATTTGGTTTTCTGACATCCTTACAGCTTGGAAATAAGTGGGAGACATCCCTCTCTACCCCCACCAATCCTCTGACAGGTACTGAAACACTGTAAAGAGATTTCTCAGAAAATTTATCTGTACCATAATTTTAATCCAATACTAGAACATGTTAGCACATAAGGAAAGAAACTGAAGTGAAATGATAATATACACATATTAGCTGTTCTATTCATTTGTAATATTTCAAATGCTATAAAGTGAGACACAAACTACAGTTTATAAGCGCAGCAAAACAAGGCACTGTGTCTAAATGACCAGTGGAAGCAGCAGGGGCACAGCTTTCCTTCCCACTCCATACATATTTCTGAAGTGAGCGCTGAGGAGATCTTACCTCGCAAGGACTTCGGCTGTCTGCTGGGATGGTGTCAATCCAGCTGACAGCAGAGTCTCTGTGCTGCCTTTCGCTGCCTTCATGGATAAGGCAAAATCATTTCCCAAAGGTCCATTGGAAATCAGTCCCGTCTGAATGGGGGAGAATGAAACAAAAAACTGAAATAAGCACCTGCCAGGACAAGACAAGCGAATTTTTCAATATGATTTATTTATAACTGGAAAAAATAAGATTCATCAACCTCCAGTTTGGGTTTCACTAAATGCAAATTCGTAAGAAATTTTACGGTATTTACCTGCAGTGCAATACAGCAAAAATGAAGTTTTACTATTAACAGGGCATGTATGTTGTCTGATTTACTCCAGCCCAATTAGTTTGCTTTATTTTTGGTCTGGTACATTATTTTATAGGCTTTCATATTATTACAAATTATTGTATTTTACTGTTTTACTTGAACTCCTGTTTCTTAATGAAGACAAAAGCTTTCTTTTTTATTTGATTGCTAAGGAATGGTCAAGCAACTCACTGGCACTAACCACCTCGGTGTTACGATGGGCTGGGAAGACACCTACAAAAAAGCAAACAAAAGCTCAATGAAAAGGTTGGAAGTAGCAGAGAACATTCTCAAAATAATACTGCCTCCCTAAACAACACTTCTCCCTAAAACAATCTCAGATATTTGCCTCTTGTTAGTCTTTGCACCACAATAGTGATGAGCTGCACGTGTGGCTCAGCCAATCCCGCTCAGCCAATCCCGCTCAGCCAATCCCGCTCACTCACAGACACACTGGGAGCAGCGTCAGCTCAGCCCTCCCTTCCCCAGGGTCATGGAACCCATTACTTTTTCAGTGCTTTGTGGACAACATTAACTAAGAGCATACTTCTGTGAACACTTTAAAGGTTCTTCTTCCCCCCTTCTTTTTTGGTGCATGCAATATAACTCCATTTTGCCAGCGCAGATTGTAAGAGATTTTTTTTATCTACATAAAAGGGTTGACTTGTATTAAAAGCTTAATTTTTGAGTATTTATTTAACATGCATATGTGTATATATGTATACATATATATGTGTATATACACATTTACATATAATTTCTGAAGTGTTATGTATACCCAAAAGCCTGAGAAGCAGTCTGACACTTGCAGGTGTACTAAAATAAGATTAGAGGTTCCTGTGGCACAGATACAAGTTCACTCTTCAGGTTCCTTCACTTCTCTTACAAAGCTATAAGGTCTAAACCCCTGTATCAGCCACCCTACAAGTGGCAGGGGGCACATATGCAGTGATCCATGTCCAACACTTCATTCCACTGCAGCAGATCCAAGCCTGGCAGACAGAAACTAAAGCCAGAGGAGAGTTCATGAGTAAAAACCACTATATGTGTGAAGGAAGAAGTTTGGTTTTGAAATACATTTACCCGAGGTGTGGCTTCTGTAAAGTCAATTAGATTCTCTGTCAGTGATGTTAAGGAAACGTCCTGGTCATCTGGAGTGCTCTATGGAATAAATCAGTTTTGAATTGAATTCCCAGTAGTAACCACATAGGTCTGCTGAATACTCTAGTGGCTTCTCAAGTTATAGACCAGTGTCTTTAATGAACACCACTGTTTTTCAGGCCTGTTTTCTCAAATCTTTCCATGTGAGCTTTTTTAATAGCCTTTAATTTCAGTTATTCTCACCAACATACTAGAAACAACATCATTGCCTTTGTCAGCAAGCAGTGCACTGTCCCATCCTCCTATCCAAAGGTGGGGTACTGTGCCATTCCACAAGGTCAGCAAGGTCTGTGAGCTGAGCGTTTGAACTCAAAAGATGAAATTGGTAATTCTTTAGTGGGATCAACTACATAATACTGGTTTAGAGGCAAAACAGCTACAGGTCATGGTGCTTTAGTCGTCCAGAACAACCCATCAGTCTGCTGAAGTAATAGCAGAGTCCACTGTTGGACTCTACTTCTCTTTTGGAGAGGGACAAAGGAAAGCTGACCCCTGAATTACTTTGTGTGTTTCATGGAGTCCAGTTAAAAATTAGCTTATCCTTAAGGGAACCAGAATATAACAATTAAACATTTCAATTTAAACTTTTCCCTCTGTGGTTATTTTGATAGGAACTGCCTATGTCAGAATTTCATCCCTACAGTCTCTTTCCTGGAGCATCAAATCATTGGCATGTAAGAGGCTTCCCACCATTGTGAGAAAATCAATCAGTTTGGAAAAAAAAACAGTGTCAGGCCAAGAACCTGAAAGAACATGCAGAAATGGCCTTTGGAGAGATCTATGCAGTGTCCCTGCCTGCTCCAGAAAGCACTCTCTGGCATTCACTGGCGCCTGGTATTCACTGAGTTATGAGAGGCATGCGGCAAGGTCTGCTGGGCTTGCCTGGAGGCATCAGTAGCTCAGAATGTGACACAGAAACCTTCCAGGCTGGCAGGTGGTGATACCTTTGAAACAGCAGCCTCCTCAGCCGGAGCCAGATTAGCTGGAATTAGCAGGTCCTCGTGGTTAGAGGCAGCATTGTCCTCATTCAATGCATTACTGAAAGGAGAAAACATTCTCATTAGCACCCTGCCTGGTTAGTACAAAATAGTGCTGCTTCCCAGATAGCCCAGAAACTTAACACCAACTCCACTGAGGCAGACAAAAGATTGATATCTGTATGTTAACGTAAATGCCTTCCAACTACCTCCACAGATTACTGCTCTCTGTCATAGTTTCAGCTACAACTGGTGTATAGACCCAACAGTATCGATGTCTTCTATCTCAGAGGAGTTTCTTCAGTCCTCATGTCTAATTCGCCTGAAGCCTTTCCTGTCATCCTCTTATCTTCCTCTTTAGAGCCAGGGGCACCAGGATGTCAGGCATCTCAGTCCTTTCAGAAGATGAAAGAGATTCTCCTACTGCTTGCTAGGATACTCACCCCAAGGCCTGGTCTACACTGATTAACTGCTGCAACAGGAATTAAGGATGCATTGGTAAACCTGCTTAGTTAGATGTAGCCTGAATGCTCAGCAACTGTTCCTCATCTTTTCAGACCTGTTTATGATAATCTCCACAGGGTCCCCTTACCCCAAAAACATGTTTCTCCAGAATCACTTACGGAACAAAGGTGTTTGAAGCAGGGATTGCTTTCAGCAGCTCTCTCGGGTCTTGAAATACTGGACTGGTTGCTGGGGGGCTATGCTGTGATTTGCCTGACAGGAGAATGTTCCTGGCACAAACCAACAAAAAACAAACAAACCAAAAAACAGGTATAACCTTCCATGGAAAGCTCTTCATGAATCACTTGTTACAGCATAGTTTGGGGATTGCTTCACGTACGTTTTGTTCAGTATGACCATGTGAGGTCTGAGATGTACATCTTCACAAATGGTCAAGAAATCAGATGTTGTAACCCTTAGAATTTTTTCAATGCCTGCAATTCCACCAGACCCAGCAATCATTTGAGATTTAATAATTCTCAGGAAAACAACTGTCAGTGTCAGAGGTTTGTACACAATCTTCTTCTCCACTAGAAAACAGCTGCTGTAAGCAGACCCACCCCCTCTCCCCACACTGAAGTTATTCACATATCAGAAATAACTACAGTGATTGAAGTTGCTGTTGCAACCATGTTCATCAAATTAAAGCATGGGAGAATAAAAAGCATCTGCATTACCTTGTAAATAATAAAACTACAGTCTTGGTTTTCATTTTGAAAGCATTTCACACTCAGTAGTTAAGCTACACTATGCAAAGGTAAAATGCAGCTATCACTGAGCCACTGACAGAGCCCACTGAACTGCAGGTTCTCAGCACTGTACTTGGGTAGCTACATCACCTGTTTCTTCCAAATCTGTTCAGTACCTGGCAGCAGCATCCTGAATATTAGAATTCTTGACACCTGTCATGCTGTCATCTTTTATAACCTAAGAGGAAGAAATGAACACAGACATATATTTCTGATACCTGTTTCCATCTTGTATCTGTTCTGGGATTCACAGTAGAGCTGAGTGTCTCTGTCCCAGAACAAAAACATCCTGTTCATCTACACCTCAGGGACTTAAAACATCAGTTCTGTGTGAAAACTTCAGAGCAGACATAAAAATAATTCACCAAGATAACCAAATAAAATACCATTATTTGCTAAAGAATTTACTACAACATGCAAGAAGCACAGTCTTAGTCACAGAATCATAGAATAACTGCTTGGTTAGAAGACAACCCTTGGAGGTTATCTGGCTCAGTGACCACTCAAACCAGGGCTTGCTGAAGGTCTTGTCCAGTTACTTGTTGAGTATCATCAAAGATGGATATTCCTCCTTGGGCAACTATCACTGTGAAGAAAGGCTGAAAAGCTCTCTGACTCTACCTTGGACAAGGCTCTTGGAACACCCTTATCTGCAAGGCACCTTCTCCAACATCAGGCAATTGAAGAGAAATAAAACATTTGAGAGCGTCACAGTCCTACTCAGTTGAGCATTTACCTTGTGACCTGCTTCTGCCTGGGCCTTCAGGATATTGCTTTTGAGATCTGCTGGAAGCCACTTTGCTGCTACAATTGGGCTCTCGATTGCATTGTTAAGACATTTATCTGTCAACTTCACCACTTCATCCTAGACAGGAAAAGATCTTTATTAGAAGCAGTTCCCATATGAAAATCTCTAAATAACAATAGGGCTCTGAGTGAAAGGAAAGTCAGCAGATTTATACTGAAAAGGAGGCAAATGTTTTCCTTTATTTTGGAACTCAGTTGTAAAGTCACAGCAACACAAAGTAAAAAAGGCACAATGCTTAAATGTGGAGATGAAATTGCTGTGCTAAAAATACAGAGTGCGAGAAATGAAGTGCATCCTAAAACCACAGCCTAGTTTACTGATAGGAGATCAACATAGCAGCCATTATATATCATATCACTATAGCCTAAGTAAAAGTTGATAATTTACTCTGGAACGCAAATTGGGGAAATTTTTACTTTAAAATCAACTTATAAATTAGAACAACAGTTTAATTAATGTGCTATTAGCTACCTCTCCAGCCACTGATTATATCAGAGCAAAATGGCAGCCACAGACATAATGAAGACAAATAAAAATGAGATACCTTTCACTACAGTATATTTCATTATGTGAATCGTATTTCTTAATTATAAAATGTTAATTAAGCATTCAATCTACTAATTGCTATTTGATTAGTGGCAGAAGTTAATTAACTGAGTGAAAACTAAACCTTGTGACCTTCCTTCTCAGGGTATGACTCAGCAGGGGGAGACAGAGTCCTGCTTTCCTCACCATATGCCACTGTCTAGGCAGGCTCTTCCCTGGAGGTAAGTGCTGCATTTCTGCAGCACTCCCTGGAGCAGGGACAATCCTGCTGCACTCCTACTTGCACCAACTGCAGTGTGTCCAGAAGGAATGAAGCCCATTGCATAGAGACAGAGCAGGGGAGAGAAGTTAAAAATTTGAGATGAATACCTGTCCCCCCACAGCTCTCCATCTACTTTCAGCTTCTTTCATTCAATGGAAACACTGGTGAGAACTTGTAGGTATTTGGTCTCTAGAGAGGGGAAAAGCATTTCCTTCTCTTGTCTCCCTCTAAATCACATTTCAGAATATCCAAATAGGATCTTATGAGACTATCTAAAGGAGAATTCGTTTTAAAATTTTGACCCCAGTCAGCAATGAACTTCACAAAGTATTCAAGGGTCACTGTCAACATAAAAAGGTATGAGGACCAACAACCCACTGCTGATGATTACTGCTGGAAGATATTAAGAGATGCATTCACATAATTTATGAAGATTAACAATTATTAAACATTTAAGTGTTTTTATTTTAGAGAAGCTGCTGGAATTGCCAAAAGTCTGGAATAACTACAACCAAATTATTATTTGTACAGTCACAGTAACCAACTGTGATAATGCTTAAATCCCTACATGGGACCTCACTGTAAGTAACAGTTCCTGCACAGAATTTCAAGTGCATTATTCCACTAATACAGTAAATCTCATCATTTTAATTGAGTGCCTAAAGCACCATTTTGTCATTTAACTTCCTCTCAGCTTTCTCCACCTGAATAACCAATTTCATTAGGTCACTCCAGTCTATTAACAATTAGATTCTCTACTTTTGAAAAGTTTAGTACTATTACAAAATATTTTAATGTAATTGAGTATAACTTTCATACCACTACAGAAATATTTGCATCAATATTAATGATCCATTTTTCTCAAGCCTTTCTATTTTGTGCCTGAAAAAGCATGTAGCTACAGGGAAAAGCATTCATCAACTGATAAAGCCTCAAGATGTCTAAATGACAAGACACTTCAGGTATTCACACAAAACAAGAAAGCTGTTGGGGTTTGTCATTATTCTAGTTTGTTACAAATGTTTGTTGTTTCCATGGACTAGACAAATTACATTCTCCAAATCAAAATAGGGAGCTAGGCAGTGATGTAAAAAGGTAAGGAAAAATTAAAGGCAGCAGCAAGGCACGCGATCCCAATACTTTCTGCTTTTGAGCAGTGTTCCTAGTGCCACTGAAAATCACTTTATGCAGGAAGATGAAGTCTAATACAGGCATGTTTTGGAGCAACTTCCATGTATTTACAGATCACAACAAATTCAGAAAAAGCAAACACTCGTGTTCTTGCATTTCTGACCCTGGAGCAGACTTCAAACACGGGCAAACAGGGTGAACGTTTTATTGTTCATTTCACTTCAGAAGCTGATGAAAGCAGTGCATTGGTGTACTTAAAACTATTTGTTCTCTTTTGTCAGATCTGGTCACTGCACTGGTGAAAGCTGGGAAAGGACAAAGTCGCATTCTTCCATCCCAACAGATTTTGGCAGTGAGCAGCAGTGAAGAATGAAGCTATTCATTCCCCCCTTCCCAGTTCTCATTCTGGAAAGATTTCTCTTTCTCCCTAGAAGAACAGGGATAGCTAGATAAATATTTCCCTATCAAAGGAATCAATCAAGATTGAATGACTACAAATACAGAATTACATAAAGATGACTATCAGGCTACCTCTGACCTGTGATAGAAGACAGTTAAAGATTTTTCATTTACAAGGTTTAAATGAGTACTTCATTGGCATATGAGTGTCATGAAGTTCAGGATACAGCTCTGCCTTCATAAGCAGAAAGATAATGCTTTCCCCCAATGCATTTTACCAAACCTCTTACGTTCTGTCACTGTTTTTACGTAAGTCAGTATCTTATGCACTGGTAAACTTCGAGGGAGACGAAATATGCTGAAATTTGTAACCACACACTTTCAGAGAGAACACTGCATTCCTCTGAAGTAACAGCAAGCTCCAGGATCGAAGTTTATTGCAAGGCTTTAGTGGCTATACTGCAGTCCCATGCAGTTCAGTCTGAAGAGGATAGCACAAACACCTCTTTTACTAACAGATTAAGAATAAAAGTAAGTACAGGGGAAGAGTCAATAGGTACAATTTGTAACAAACATCATAAGTGGAAATCTATAGTTTTTCCTAAAGCAGCCTTCAAAGTCAGGAAGCAAAGTGTTTTTAATTGTTATTCTTAGGTCACTCTTTTGAGGACTCATTTCCAAACCATTAACCTTCTTCTCTGAAGGGTGTGCTCATTTGGTGCTACTGTAACCTACATGTCTTTGCAATTTGAAACACAGAGAATTTAAAGTATGCAGAGAGTATCTAATTTGTGTCTATCTTTTTTAAACAACCACTCTCAAATGACCTCTTGGTCAGCTAAATCATAGTCTGAAAAATTTTATTCAATCTCCTCTACCCTAGAAAAAACACTGATGATCTACTCTTATATTTTCTTAATACAATTTGTACTTCCTTCTTGAAAGCTGAAGTCTCTTTTACCCAATGAAAGAACCACACTGGCATACTGCTGATCCATACCTCATGTAATTCCCTGTTATGCAAATGTTCTCGCTCTCTAATCAGGTTACTACCACCCCAGTATCTGTAACCTCTAAAGTTACTCAGCACCTCATATGACAGCAGCTGGATAACTGTGACTATACTGAATTGGCAGCTGTTTGTTAGATTAGCTCATTACAGGCATCTTAGCTTGCTTATTATACATCAGCCACAATTTAAAAACCATTGAGACATTTTTGCTCTGTTCTCTCCAATTAACCATTTTTTTCCCTCTCTCTCTGAACTAAAGCAGAGGTCAGTGGGCCAAAATATTCCTAAATAAGCTGTGTTCATTTGCTTTAGTTTATGCAGAAGTGGTGTTTCAGCATAACAGGACCTACAGGCTACTGACTAATCTTCTTACAGACCTGGTAATCTTTGTAATGCACTCACCAAGCAGAGAGGTGCACAAGGCATCCCTGACAGCAGTCCTTAAAGGGGACATGAGCCAAAGAGCCTGCAGCACCACCCACAGCAGCCTTCTCTCACACCGAGGTGGAGAACAAGTGCTTAGGAATGGGCTTAGCTCAAACACATACTGCTAAACATCTCCCTTGGCACCTGGTTCCTTTTACTCTTGAGGGAGCAAGAAAAATCATTGCTGCTTCACTGAAAGTTAGATAAATCCTCAGGCTTCCCTGGAAGGGAGGATAGCCCAAAGAGAGATAACAGTGCCAGGTGTTTTACTCTCTCTGCTTGCCCAAAACGCGATAAAGCATCTAAAGCTTTAACATCAGGGAAAGCAGAGTCAAGGAAATATAATTTCCATAATTTTTTAAAGCTCATTAAAAAAACCAGAAGAATATCCTGTATGGGTGCACTTGTCTGCTAACCAGTAAATCTGTCAAAGTTCATTGTTGTTGTAAAGGAGGATCCTGTCCTCTCCATCCCTTCTAGCAACACTACTTATTTTCACTATGGCTCTGGCATTCCTTTGACCCCTTCTATGAACCTATTTTACTCACTATTTACCAACTTAAAAAAACAAATCAAAAACCTAATGAAATCTAACACCTTAACAAAAACTTCAAAACAAAGGCAGCTAAAAAAATATTGTTTGCCATTTCGTAGGCTACATTTGCTTACTGAAACATGCAGTGATTCCTGCATGTTTTCCTCCCCAGAGAGGGAGCCTGGGGAAGAAAGAACAAAGAGGAGGGAGGAAGGGAGGGAGGGAGGGAGGGAGAGAAGTGCCTTCACCTTGTTCAGGGCACTGAAGCTTGTACTTTGGCTCAGCTGCCTGTGAAAGTGCAGCCTGACTTGCTCAGAAGGATCTGAGAGCATTTAATCAAACCACATCACTCTTCTCTATGTAAACACAGAGAGCACTAACACCTACTTCAGAGAGCAGGTACAAACTGGTTACTTAACAGGAGGGATGGATCATCAGCAAACTTGACTCAAACCAACATCTCAAAAAAACCTTCTGGGAGGGTTACCTAGGGCAACAGAAAAATGCCAGGAAAGCAGCACACCCCTTCCAAAAAGAGGGTAGACTACACAACACCATACACGTAGTAACCTACACATAAAGACAACTGAGAAACATTTCAAGCATTTATGCCTTTTTCTCCCATTGATTTCAGAAAATTTCACCAGGTTGCAGTCTGCATACAAGCACCTCTGCCCCTATCTTTATCTCACTGCCCTGTCACACATAGGTTTATATATAATAAAGCAGCTGCATTTCCTTTACTACCCCCCAGTATTACTCACTCATATTCTTAAAAATTCTGCAAACAGACCAAGGTAAGTGGAAGACTTTTCAGAATCATCTGAACAAAACTCAGTGACTGTGCCAGGGGGAATGAAGCCCAAGTACCTGTATGTTTATGTTTACGTTGGGACGCTCAGTTGGCACAGGGCTGCTGCGCTCTGTCTCCAGCTGTTTCAGTTTTAGGAATGTGTCTTCAAATGCTGAAAAAGATAGAAAAAAAAATCATCTTCCTGATGTTATTGTGGAGTTATTTGCCTTGTAACTTGCATTCTTCCTGAATACTAATTAAATGGGTTTGAAGTTGTGCAAAAAAGCACAGGGATGGGAGAATCTGCCTACTTGCTCAGGCTTCAGTGCAAGTTTCAATCCTACAGAGTGTGTGTACCTAATCACAGTGCTCTGCACTCCTGTGAGTTCATCTACCCAACAGAGAATGAGCAAGCACACAGACTTAATTGCTTTTATGGCTGCACTTCACTGTATTTGTGGCTTAAGTCAGATCCAACAAAGATCTGACTTCTCCTATGTACCTCTGTCCTTGTAAATAAGCTTTGTTGTCCCAGTGGTGGGTAAAACTGTCCTTATGCATATAACCTAAGGGAGTTTCTAAAACAGTTCTGCATTTTTGTAAGGAAACACTCTCATAGCAACCTAACTATTTAACTTTGACCCCACACACCATAATATGAAAAAATCTGTAAATTTGCTTACGATCAGAGTCTGCTTTTTCAGCAGCAGTTTCCTTCGTGCCAGGATGAGGGCAACTAAGAGCCTCTTCTGAATCTCCTGTTGCCAAGCCAACAACCGGACGGCCTACGGCATCATCAACACAAGTTTCTGGCAGCTCTGTGCTGTCTAGCAAATCAACAAGAGGGATGCTGCAAAGGCAGAAAGATGGGCAGAGATAGGCAGAATCATGTTACCACTCTTCCTGTAACAAGAAAAAGCTTTGACACATGCAATCTCTTTTTTCAAGCTGTCTTCTGCTAACCAGATACATTCTGTAAAAAGTATTTCAGGTAACTAAACAGACATTGGCTCTCAGTGAGCTTAAAAAACATGACAAAGGGAACATTTTATGTCTCTGTAAGTGACTTCATGAAAGAACAGGTCTGTGTTGCCTGCTGCATCATCACACAGTAGTGGAAAAAGTGAAGAAGGGAAGTTTTTAAACCATTAAATACACTTTTTGGAACAAACATTTGAAGTTTTCCTAACAAACTCAAGGTACCCTTTACGATTTTTACATGAGAAAAAGAAAAGTGAGAGGGAGGGAAGTTGATATCAAAAAAGTTGTTCATGCAGCACTTCACCCAACACTCGCAAGCAGAACAGAGGGCAGAAGGGTGCACTGCACAGGTCTGCATTGATGCTGTTACGGTCAGGCATACCTATAACTAGTTTCAGTTTTGTTAGCTTAGGTAGAGACGTGAATGAAACTTGAGCAGTCACAATATTTTAAGTGAACCATAGCATGTATGCTGTACCCTGTAAGGATCACTTGTTTCACCTCCTTTGCCTTCTGATGGAAACGTCTCCTTTTTATTTTGCCCTACGAGCTGTACTTACAATGAACAAAGAAAAACAATTATAAAAAGAAAAATTATATTATGATGCTTATGTTGTGCAAGCATTCAGGAATCTCATACATCTCTTCCAAGTTTTGGAGCAGCTAAAGCTCTCCTAAAAGCAAACTAACAAACACAGGAACAACTGCTGCAGAACAAGAGGGTTAATCAGACATGGCCTGTGCACATAACTGCACCCTGATTATTGCCCATTTTAGTCTACAATTACCCTTACAATCAGTTTGGTTGCAATATTAGTTTAAGAAGAAAAATCTATCACTTTTGAAAGTCCCTAATATGAGAACAATGACACCAAGGAAGTATCCACAACAGAACTTACCCTTAAGCACAGACAAGAGACGCTTCCTACTGGGCAGTTTAGACCAGTTTCGCCCTTACCACTACCAATTTAATGCCCCATGCCTCTCTCCAGCCCCTGGAATCTGGAAGCAGTGCCCTGTTGTCACTAGAGGCTCCAGGAGAAAAACTCTCCCCCTCCAGCACAAGCACCCAAAAGAATCCTTCCTATGTTAAATATATACCTCTGAAACAGATTACAGGATATCACCGTTTTAGTGCTAATAATGTACGAATCATCTTAAGACAATTAATTGCTGTGAGGCAAACTGAGGCCACTTGCTTGATTCTCTTAAAGCAGTGCAATAAGAAGCTACTAGCAAAGCAAATAATAGGAAACTTTTCAACCTACTGTGCAGCCTCTTTGCACCACTAATGGGGAAGCAGTAGATAGTCTTGCAAAGGGGGAATGATGGATACAGAGATTTTTGTTAGAAGTAACAGACAGGAGTAGATGCTTTTCCAACCAAGGTAACAAAGGAAGTGAGACTGAATCCCATACCTTACTATCAGAGGACGATGATTATGAGAGTTTTCTAATCTTCACATGAAGACAACAATTTTCTTCCTATTTTCTGAGAGTTTTCTGCAAATAGCCTCCCAGTTGTTTAATATGACAACCATTACAGAAATTTCAGATTTTGTCTGCAGCACAGAGAGGTGCTGACACCATGTGTTGAAGAAACTTGGAATAAGTTCCCATGAACTCTACATCAGAGAGGTGATGTAGAGCATCAGTAATACTTCTTTGTGCTTAAGTCTTCTAATTATTTTCTTAGCACTGTAGCACAGTGGACAGAAAATGAGTGAAAAATGAAATTTATCTTAATTAGAAAACTGCTAGGATAATTACACTAGCCTTTTCCTCCCCATGACAACTGCAGTAATATTTACTAGACAGACAAGAGAGCTGATTCAAGAACTTGCCTGCTACAGATCAGGGCAGTCTTAAAATGTGACAACATATTCAAATAGCACACTCAGGGTCTAGTGTGTTCCAAAAGCTGCTTATGCTGAGGTGACCAAAGTTTGTATAACAACTTATTGCCATTTGTGCCGTGGGATGGAGAACTGGCTGAGGTAGCAAGGACAACCAGGGTGAGACCCTGCAGCTTCACCCCTGCATCATGGCAGGGCCTCAGGGAAACTAAATGAATTTTAGGTGGACTCAAGGAAGCCTCAAAGGCCAAGATTCAAGTAGGAATTGACCCCATCTTGCCTTCAGACCCACTGAAACACCTACTCAGCTACCCTGAGATACGCAGTCAACAAGAGGAAAGTCATACTAGGGAGACTCAGCCACTGGAATTTGCAGGCACAAAAGACGAGCTCTCCAAACAGCATCAAATCATTTAAGGCCACCCAGACTCTTCACCCTCTTCAGAGCACCTGCAGGAGGACTGCCATGCTGGCTTCATAAACAGCCAAACTAGGGAAATAAAAAGCACAAGATACTACTTGCATCACTACACAGAATTTCTGACATCTCTTACAAACACACTGATGAACTGTCCCACCAATCAAAGGCTGCCCAGGAAAAGTAGGAAACAGTCAGCTTGCCCTTCTCAACAATGAAAAGGGCACTAGCTTTCCACGTTCCTGTATTTACCCACGTACAAGGGGATATTTTGAACTTTGCACAGCAGTAAGTGCCAGGCTTTGTGTCTCCAGAATCAACTTCTACCAGCATATTTTAAGAAATACTCTGAGTAGAAATGCTGATAAAAGATACCAGCAGTTCATGCCACATAAATAATTATGCATATAGGAATAATGAAGACTTGTAGTACATGGAAAGGTTTAACCCAGTAATAAATCACACAGAAGTCATTATATGCTTAGGGATTTCACACAGTTAGGGGAGTAGCTACTGCATTCTCTCTTCTTTTTTCCTGACAAATATATTGATATTAGTATGTACCACACAGCACTCAATGCATAATGTGACTGAGAAAGCTGTCAATTACAACTGGTGTGGTTTTAATTTCCTAGTTGAAAAGCAAAACCATACTTCATGCTAGTTTATGAAATACAATCTTCAAAATACAGTAACTGAATCTGCTACAAAAGAGGTAATTCTCTTACAAACAATCTAATTGCAAACAGCACGGTGTACCATGCAAGCTCATTTATTTTTTCAAACTGGTAATGACACAGAATAGTCTCTGACACAGACTCTGCAAGGTAGTACAGCAGTATGAAGTTCTTTGTTAATTTTCTTAATTTTGTTGCATCCAATGTTGTACCTGAAGGTAAGAAGAATAGTGAATTTAAACCTTTTCAGATTTTTTTTCCTAAATAAAAATGCAAAATATTCAGAAAAAAAAGAGTTTCCTTTTCCATTAAAGTGTGGAAAGTAAAAGGAAAAATCCTGGGGATGTAAGATCAGACAAACAGAGACAGCTCATACACATTCTAATCGAGCAAGTCCCACATTTCAAGACTTCTGCTGTCTTCCATTTGTTTGAAGATAATTCTGAATACTGACATAGTGCAATATGTGCAAGTCAACAACTACAGCAAAGGTTGAACCTTTTCTGCAGCCAGCACCCTGGGAAAAGGTGCTGGCTGCAGAACATTCAGAGATACTAAGCAAAGCAAAAAAAATATTACCACCACCCTGTTTAGAAAGACATCTCTGTGCTTCCTCATTGCAATTCCTAGAGCATGTGACCTGTCCCTGTAAAAATGCAGCTTGGTGCTGTTGGGATGAGCATCTGCTACTGAGAGCTGTCACTCACCCTAATGGATACTAAGATAGTAATTCTCCTTAAGTCAATGAAGGCACATCAAAATAAGCCCAGCACAGAGGAAAATCTACCCTCAGGTTATATGCAAGATTCACAGCCACGTGGCAAAAGCACGCAAGGTACATCACACTGAAACAATTTAATCCTAAAGGTAGATGGATTTTAGGCAACCAGGGCTGAATCTGTCATGCAAAAAATCTACTACAAAAACCTGTGTCACAGCTTTAATTACTGAACTTACAGTTAATTCCAGGGCAGTCCATGACCATCAGGAGGGTCACCAGCCCTCTGCTCAGCACTGGAGAGACACCCCGGAGGGCTGTGCCCAGCTCTGGGCTTCCCAGGACAAGAGAAACATGGACATACTGGAGGGAGTGCAGCAAAGGGCCATGAAGATAACAAAGGGGCTGGAGCATTTGAGACAGGAGGAGAGGTTGAGAAAGCTGGGGTTGCTCAGCCTGGGGAAAAGAAAGCTCAGGAGGATCTCACCAATGTTTATAAAAACCTGATGGAGGGAGTAAAGACAACAGTCAAACTCTTCTCAAGGAAGCCCAAAGAAAGGACAAGAGGCAATGGGCACAAACTGAAATATAGGAAACTCCACTTAAACGCAACCCCCCCCCAACTTTTCTTCCTGTAAGGCTGGTGAAACACGTCTCTCATAGCAGGTGTGAAGTCTCCATCCTTGTAGATACTCAAAACCTGGCTGGCGCGGTCCTTGAGCAACCTGCTCTACTCAAACCTGCTCTTAGCATGGGGGTGGACTAATTATCTCCAGAGGCACCTTCCAGCCTCCACTGCTCTTTAATTCTTTGACAGCCTCACAAAACTTCTCTGATACCCGAGGAGTCAGCCACTACTTGCAGTGGCCTGACCTCTACAAAAGCACATCTAAACTTAAAACTGCAATAAAACAGTGACTTGTTATGCAACAGTGTTCTTGCATTTTAAATACAAAAGTATCCCAAATTCCTTCATTCAAATTAGTGGCTTTTTCTCCCTCAACTACAGAGACATTCTATGATATTGTTAAGTTAAAACACCTGTTTTCATTTGCATATTCTTATGCAACTTCATAAATAATAAAGGAACACATGGGTTTGCTTCACTCCAGAAGTTTACAACATCCACCATGCATAATCTAAACCTAAAAATAACACAACAGATTGCTCCTATCACCCTGGTAGATCTCACAGATCTTTA